CCAGAATCAAACAGCAAGACAATAAATATATCAATTTTATGAGGGACAAGTTTATGAGCGATATTATCACTTTACCTTCGTCGATGCATTTAAAATTTGAAAAATATGTAGGGTATTTTTCTTGCTCAAGTCCAGGCACACTTAAAGCTGCTTGTCAGAAAATTCGATGAAACGGGACAACGATGTAAGACGCTTCTTATACGGCAAAACAGGGTCCAGCGATAGAGGAGGAGCCACTTAAAACGTTAGCCCCGGCAGCGTTAAATATTTGATCAGAATTCGATTGCTTTAAGACGTCAGTCTGCAAGCTGGGGGCGCGGCTGGCGAGGACACGAGAAGGAAAGAAACAGGATGAGAGCGAAGTGGTTGACGTAAGAGCGGATAGTTAGTAAAGGGACGAGAGCTATTCCCTGGAGCTGGATGGATGTCCGAATCGGGCAGCTGTCCTAGTCACAGCGTTCTTTCCCCGCTTGCACTGATGCCACGACATGAGCCCCGCTTTAAAATCCTTTTCCCTTGTCCTTCGATGTGAAAGCAGCTCGACAGAGAATAGCATCGCTGGATCCCCTTTGGAAATAAAGCCAATTCGTTAGGTTTCTCGGGCTCAAATCGTGTTCAGTAGAATGCCACCGTCGATGGCCAGACAATACACGCCACTAGTCCCGCTCGATTAAATAAGAGTTCTCGACATTCTCGTCGGCTCTGCGAATTTTTTAATATATCTAATACTTCGAAATATTCAAATATTTACTATTGTTCCATATCAACGAATATCGAAGAATTAATAGCGTTAAGTTGTAGCAGCTAATATTTCGGAGCAATGCTACTAATAATAATGATTGAAGCAAAATGTAGTAATTTTTTCGAATAAGATTATTGTGGAAAAATGGAGTTTTATGGATATGAATCACATGGAATCTGTCGTTGTTATTCCACAGTCATGCTGTGCCTTCATTCAGCGTTTAAGAAGGCGATGGGAGCGGGAAGAGTTTGAGTCGCAAAACTCACGCAAATCCACGTGGTGCCAAGTGGGGTGCATTAGCCAAGTTCCCCATTATCCACGCGTGAGAGACCCCTAAATTATCCGGCATTCGCCTAGCACCGACCCCCCACCCTTGAATGTCGGCGAGAAAAAGATGTACGAGTTCCTCTCGCGAGAACACCCTCCGTGGATGCTTAGATGGAGTAGGTACAACGAAAATCATTCTTATTCCTTAATATAAAACGAACAAGTGGAAAGAAGTATTTTGTACATTGTATTTTCAAATGGTCCTTTAATAATCTCGAATAAAAATTTGGAGCGCGATGGTCTTTAGAATGCGAAATATGAATATTACTCCATATTAGATTCACCGTTTACGGAAGAAACCATCAAATAAAGATTTGAGACGAATAGAAAGTTGAAAGAAAATTAATTTATACTTCGAAAAATCTAAACCATGAAGATATTGATGCACAATATCCTATTACCATCGCAACTGAAGAATATATATTCCGCTTTTCTTAATGAAGTGATCAAGACAAGTAACTCTTAATGTCGACATTTTACAATTGTTTTGACATAAATCTAGAAACAGACTTAACCTCGAATACTGTTAAGAGTACCGTGATCCTGGCGTGGTTTATCTAATTGGAATTGTCGAGGACTTGAAGAAGGACGCCAGACCCAGCAAGAAGCAACGACGAAAGATGAGGAGTGAGTGAGCGAGACTGAGGAAGTGAGCACGAATAGGGAAAGTGTATAAGAGAAAGAGAGAGGGGGCGAGTACTTGAAGAACCATCGGTAAGACGAAGGGGGTGTGTAAGTTTGGGCTATCTCTGAGAGCACAGTTCCAAGGAGGCTCCTTTAGACTCTAGTGACGTGACGTCGCCTAATACTCTAATCCCTTCAGTAGAGGCACCATCGTCCGCTTCTGCAGCCTCGTGTTCCTGGGTAACCATCTCCTCCGCTAGGAACGGCACTTGCTAATTAATTGACGAGTACGGATTTTGAGGTGTCGAGAATCTTCATGTCTGTCAAGAGGGAGGACTGTTATCAGTCAACGCAGGCTGAACAGCGAACGTATAACACTTATACCGAGTACATTCGATTTATATTGATTTCGTACGACTTTTTGGAATATTATGTTTAACATAAGAATTGCATTTTTTTCATTGAGGTAGGAATCACTTGTGCAGTTACTCATATTGAAAATCGTAAATTATCTGATTCACCTATTTAACAAAAAATGGTGACATTGTTAAGGAGAAGTTTATAATCTGCAACTTATAACTTTTTAATTCACCAATATTACTAGTCGGTAAATTATTATACAAAAAGAATATTAGGAGAATAATTCTTGATATGGAAATGAGTCCTAAATTCTGTATTGCACATCTTTTTACATTAACCAAATAATGCACTCAGATTCTTTGTAAACTCGAGTATTACAATTAAATCAAATATCGCTCACAGTAAAGGGGGAATAAACAACTGCCGTCGTCGATTCGCGAGAAAAGCAGAGACTTTAACAGCGGACGTGACATTTCCTTGGACGCAAAAACGAAACCAATCTTTACGCGATACCACGTTGGCGGACGTAGGTACTCGGTCCAGGAAAAGGGCTGCTTTCTAATTATTCCCCACAGGCCATAAGGGATGACACGTAATTGGAGGGTGGACGAGGAAGCATTGATCCCTAACTGGAAGGGATTCAAGCTCTTCCTTGCTCTGCTTCAGCCACCTAACTCTCTCTTTCTTTCACTCGCCTTCTCTCTTTCTCTTGTCTTATCTTTCACTCGCTCGCGTAGCTCTCGAACTCTCGAACACCGAATGCTGGACCAATGAGCATTGGCCGGCAAAGAAAAGTGATAATGTCTTAAGCCGTCGGTGCGATTTAACTTTCGATTTTAGTCAGAGAGAGCACATTCTCTTCCTGCGGTCCTTTCTAGGAGTTCGTTGCTCTAAACTCTTCGAGCTTCCCGTGGTCTGAGGAGGGTTTAGGGTTTAAGGAAAGCCCTCTCACTCCAGAGATCCTTTCGAAGCTCCCGCTAAGCGCTCACGCTGATCCTGCTCTTCTTCTTCTTCCTGTACCATCTCTCGGAACCTCTCGGGTTTATCTAATTCGAGTTGTAGCTTCCTGCTATCGCTCTAAACCGTACGAGCTAGCCGATAGGGGTGGCCCCATCGATTGAAAATATACGTAGTCCCGTGCGATCATTCGCGATCGGGAAACGGGCCGAGGTAACCGTGCCTGTCCAGATGAATTCGGCTCAGTAATGTGCACGCTAGCTTTTGTTACATAACGGATCGATAAATGTCGTCCAAATATAGCTACATCCTAATACCTTACTACAGGAAAATTCGACTTAAGAGTAAGGCTTACTCTAGGAAATATTTTATCATAACGGTAACTTTCGTTTAGAATTGAGAAACTTGAGAAACTGGTCTAACGAAAATTAACTTAATTCTACTATGTTGAAGTACAACGAAGTATGGAGACACAACAAACAAAGAATCTCTTTAAATTTTATTTTGAAACAAACGCATTTATATATTACGTAAGTATCGATAATGGCATATTATAATTTTCAAAGCACCTTCCTCTACATATTTCGAACGCAAGGAAAAAATTCGCGTATGTTCAAATGGTAATTACGGAGAATCAGTTCGCACACAAAATCCCGGTTTTCGCTGCGTAATTGCGACAGCGAGCCTCTTTAAATGTGAACGCTTTACGAGCGACGTTCGCAGTAATCAGAAGTAAATACAGCAATGATCACGGAGCCGTCGCCGCGTTTCCGCAGTTTAATTCTAATTGAATTTGACGTTGCTCGTTACGGGAGACCAGACCTCGGCTGAATGTAAAAAAGACAGGAGGTCCCTGGCCGGGGACCAGGATCACCGGGACTTTTAAGGCAAGCGAAGGAAAACCAGGTAGCACAGGTACACGTAGATCGTGAACGAGACAGACGAGTGAGGGGTCGGTGAGGTGGTGGAAGTTAAGATGTGGGTGAATATAAGCGGACCGAAGGTGTACCAGCGCCCGTTGCCCAACACACTGAGAAACACCTTGGTGTGCATCCAGGGGCCGTGTCCCCTACTCTCTCTCTTTCTATGCTTAGGGGGTGGTGAGGTGAGAGTGACGGGGGATGTGCTGAGAGGCCGGGAATCGCGTTCCAGCTAAAGCTAAAAGGGGTGGACAGTGCGCAGAACCCGCCCCCACTTTTCGCGGCGAAGCAGAAGCTGCCAGTTGCTCGCGCAAGCCTTCATCCCCTCCGGTGTCGCGGTGGAAGATCGCCACCCCCGAACGAACTTAAACATAGCACACAGTAGCTCGCGAGCATCCTGCGTGGAAAGGCTCTCCGCGCGCTTGTGCGACACAAAGGCATCTGTCTATATATCGTATATCAAGTCGGTGTAGCCGACCGACCACGCGTGACTGGTGCGTGAACACGCGAGCGCGCGCCCGCGCGTATATCACATCGAGTGCGTGCACAATCTGTGTCTCCACAATTCCGTGTTCCTAATAATAATCATAGAACGAGAGAGTAATATTTAAAGAAAGAATATAAAGAAAACGGAGTGGTATTGTTCAGTTGAAGAAGATACACAGTCGTTAGTACATTTTACTTGGGGCCGAAGATCTCAGACGTCTAGACTGGATGGAGAGGGTCCCAAGATTCGAGGCCACGTCCTCGGTGGACCTCCACGGCATTCAGGTGAAGTTTCTTGAGAGACTCAGGTTACTTTAGGCTTCGAATGCACGGTTCATGAAAAAACGAAAAAAAAAAAGTAAATGAAAGGTAAAAGAATAGAAAGCGAGGATTAAGAAGATGGGACGGGTGATCTGAATCGTTTGGAACTGACAGAGATTCTGTTCCCCAGCTACGGGAATTGGTTTTGTTAGATGTTGAGCGATCTTGAGCGAGCGGATTGCACTCATTGATCAAAACTCACTGCATCCATGCATCCGATGAGAGAGCAGATTTCCTGATCCTCTGGAATTTTTGTGTTCCAGGGTGGAACTGACCAGCGTGCCAGGTGGCCAGAATGCGATGGCTCATCTCAAAAAACGGAAGCTGGAAGCAGAATCTGTCAGCCCAAATCCTAAGCAACCACAGCAGCCACAACAACAGCCGCATTATCAACAACAGCAACCCTTGATCAACAAGAAGGCTGTTCAAGCGATCATTCCGCAAGAAATGGAGACAGCTGATGCTGCTGCTAAACGAAGGAGGAAAAGCGTCCGCGATGAAGAAACGCGCAAATCGCTCGAAGCCAGTGATTCGAGCAAGAGTATACCGTTACCTCAAAAGAAGCGAGCATTCGCTGCTGGAAATTCAGGTAGCCCAGCGAGAAAGTCTAGCAAACACTCGGAAGAACCCGAAGACGATGAGACTTTAATCAGAGAAACCGAAGCTGCTTTGAAAAGCCTGTCTGGAAGTTGGCCTGGTCCGAGAGGATCCTTATATCAGCGAGGTAATTCCGACGAGGACAAATATGAGTCGAATTTTGAAAACCTGTTTGAAGAGAAAAAAGATAACCCTAAACTGTCGCCTTCCTCTATGTCCACTTCTTCAACCACTAGCAATGACGCAGGTTGTTCCTTGAAAGACGTGATATCGTTCCGCGGTCAGCAAGATCGTAACAGCAAATCCCAGCAACAGTTGAAGCAACAAGATATGAAGCAACAACAGCACCCGAACAAAGCGAAAAAGGATTTAGACAGTTTGTTAAAAACGGAAAGTGAATGCGGCATTATCCAAAACCAAGTAAATAACGTGAATCCAAACGAATCAGGTAAAATCAGGCCAGTGCCGATGAGATCCTTATCCAATAAAGACAGGAATGACAGGAATATAATCGGTACTCACGTGGACAGTCAAGGTCGGCAGACTGACAAGTATTCTAGATACGATCCACCCGATTTCAACGAACTTGTCGACGATTCCTCCAACGAATTAGAGATCGACATGTCGGATCCAGCTGCCGAGAAAGACGAAGCTGACAGGGACAAGCTGAACGAGAGGGACAGGGATCGAACATGTAGAAACGGCCAATCGCCACAAAATTCTAGACAACAGCAACATCAAAACCAATTATATTCAAATTACCACAGGCACTATAACGAGAACAGTATGAAGGTTTCGCCAACCGCGACTACCACCTCCTCTTCTTCACCACCGTCGAATTCTCCGTTCTCTGCAACGTCGGCGTTTAGACCACCCAATACGGACCACGCGAAAGCGACTGGCCGCGGTACACCGTCAGTGGCCGTGGCTTCGACAGCGATACCACCTATCGGTCCGTACCCAGCATCCGCTACGTTTGTCGGTTACCCCACTGCTGGTCCAGGACCAACGATGCCAACACCCCAACCTGTTACGGGAATCTCGACCACCTCGGAGGACAAGCATTCTTCCTCTGTATCGTTATTACAATTGAAATCGTCAAAGGAGGAGGTTCATCATGTAACGAGGCACGAGGTTACACCGAACTCGATGACAGGCAACAAAAGTCCTACCAGTGGCCTTCCTGCTATCACCAGTCCCGATTCCTCGAAACAGTATACGATTCTCCAACCAGCTGGTATCGGGTCGAGGGCAGCCAGTGCCATTCAGGACATAGCCAGAGAGGGAGTGGTTAGTGTAACGGCTGTTAGCAGTTGTAGCACGACCAACGGCAATACGGCCAATGGCATCAACAGTAATAGCAATGGAACTTGTACTAATAACATACCTAACAAAAGTACGAACAACAATAGTAGTGGTAACGCGAACAATACTGCCAATCCGGTCAGCAATGGCAACGGGAACAATGTCACGAATAGTATCGCTATCACCGCTATTTCAACCAGTACGACGACGTCTAGTCCAACGACTGGTGCTGATGCGACATCAGGAAGTGGAACTGGTCAGCAAGAAACTGTTATGAAAATGGCAGAAAGGCCCGTTACCTTTGATGGCACCAGACCGGGAATGTCCATGTCTCCGTCCAGTCTTAACAGAGGTGAGAGATTCAATGTTCTATTCTGTACGAATATCACCGACATTTTCGATATCTGCAAGCATCGCATGCTTGTCTTCACGAAGAATTTTATTTTCATAGAGTTCATTTAAAAGGACTTACGAATTTTATAGCGATATAAAGCATTCGTAGTAATAATAGCATAGGTCCAACTCGTTATTCCACTCGTGTGTCCCGTCGAGACTTTAACGACTGCAAATACGAGCAGCGTTTTAAATCGCTTTCCCTAATCGGGACAATTTCGTTGATTGAAGGTAGATCGAAGTTGAAGAAATTCGCGAAAACATTGATGAGACTAATGCCGATGGTAGTAGTAGGCTTAGCGTTCGTGTGTTATTCGCTATGAGAGGGGGACAAAAGGCATTTTCGATTCTCCCGCGTACAGTATTCTTCTCCTACTGTCGCTCTTTCTCTGTCACACACACTCTCTCTTACTTTCTCTATGAAGTTAGGGGAGTTAGGGTAGCACGGAAAATCAATAATTACGAAGCGAGGGGCGATGACTCAAATGGTGAAATCAAGGTCTCTCAAAGTAAAGTTATTCTCCGTATCCTCTGCTACAGCCACTTTGTCTTCGTCTTTGCACTGCTTCGAAACTATTCGCTTGATCATGGGAATGTCGCGATGATCGTAAAGACTGGCAGCACGCGGGGAAACTTGCACCTATTACACGCACTCAAGCACGTGCCCTTTAGAATTCTGTACTATAAGTCGGAGTTTACTTTTCCATATACTCGCTGCTCTTACAAAATTACTTTCTCCCCTTTTTTTCAAAATTTACTTTCCTAAAGTTACGTATTCTAATTGTTTCCCTACTCGGCCCAACTTCTATCTTGGAGATGTTCTTAAGATAGAAATGTAGTTGAAACATTCTCACGGTACGCTAATATTTTACCGCATTTTTTTTAAAATAAGATTTTTTATTGAAGTATTTTTAAACATTTAATTTTACTTTTATATATCAGAATTTAGTATTAGGATAAAATATATTTGTCATGCTATGAATCATCATCGAGAAATTCATTATTCAAAAGATTCCAAAAATAGATTATTCTGCTAGTTATAATTTCCATCGTTAACATCTTAGCTAAATAATATTATTTAGTATTATTAAATAGTATTATTTAGTAACTTTATTCGCTTGTCTAAAGTAAAACACTAGAAATACTGGAACGATCAGTGACAACAAAAGGAAATCAAAGAAAATTCCGGGTGCGCCAACAGGGAGACATTCCACGGTGTGACAGGTTGGAGTTCGAGTGCATTCCAGGGTCTTAGGGCAGCGACGACACGATGTGCCTAGACGGGGAAATTTGGGGTTGATACCACGTCATACGTATAAGCCGCAGCTGTCAGCAGCTAGAAACGTGACTAGCATCCCAGCCACACCACGCTACCTTATTACCACCATGCGGCTCTGCTGCCTGTCCTCATTATCCCCTTAACGTTTTCTCTGACTGAACCTACGAAGACGAACAGTTCAAAAATTCAATCATTGTCGTTCCGCATCCTGTGTAAGTTGACCTAGATAGATAGATTACAGTAGATACTGTTTATAGATATAAACACGTTATAAATGAAAAATAAAATATATTATAAATTTCAGGTATTCTATAATAGGGTTCTTCGGGCAAAGTATAGAATTTTTACTAATTATTATTCACTTAAGCTAAGTTTTAAAATATCGATTCTACTTAATATATCTTAACATAGAACCACTAATTTGTAAAATATTCACGTCTACTAAGATTTCCCTAGTTCAACCGTTGCCGGACTCTATCTATCCTTAAACTCCATATAATATGCGTACATTACCTAAAATACAATAGCCCAATCGATCAATCAATTTCATCACACTCAATGACCACAACATTACCTTGCATATCAAAATATTTGTACAAACAAAAACTTCCAACACGCTTCGAACGTTTACGTTGAAGGAGTTTCAGCGGCATCTGTCAATCTCTCAGGGGGCGCTTGATTATTAAAAGATTCGTAGGTGGAGATAGGCCGAGCAATCCAACTCGACGGAAATCTCGATGAATAAACGCGGGGCCGTGATAAGTGGGCACGATTAATCGCATACTTACAAGCGTGACGGCGGTACAGGCGTGCCGGACCCTATGGAGCTATAGTTTTAATCGTAGGCTCGTACGCCTGTGCCATTCGCGCCGCTCGTTCCTGAGCCTTCCGATTTAGCGACAGGATTGCGTGCACGTCGTGCTCCTTCCTTTTTCCCGTCTCTTTCCTCTTTTCCTCCTTCATTATTCTGCCTCTACTCTCTCATTTTTTAAAATATTTTCTCTTTTTTATTCAACACACCGCCGACACACACGGTGCACAGGCATAAGAGCGTGTTGACACGCCATAAAACCGCTATCGGGAAATCCGTCGGCCGCAAAAACCACCCTTTCCGCGTTGAAACAGCGCGGCAGGCAGGGTTGGCCTGGCTAATAAAAAAATAAACTGCCCTGTAACTCAATTTTACGCTGCCTTTGCGACCGCACGCATAAAAAGGACCTTTACTCGCGCGCAGGGGCTCTACCCTCGCGTTACGGCCGCGCGCGTCGCCGTGTGTAAATACGTACTTTGTGATTGTTCCCTGGGCTGTTCTCTTTTTTTAGAATCTTTCGTCTTCTACGTTTGCTTCTCGGCCTTTAAGATCTCGTTCTAAGTCGAACGAGAATCTACGATCATCTTACGTTATAATTACACTTTCCAACCCTTTTCGATAACTATTACGAGGAACATCGTTCCTATTTTGTTTCGTGATACATTTATCTTCGTGTATATAAGGATATATTAAACTTGTTAATTAAGAAGCACGAAGATATTTTCCTTATATTAACACCTTTCTTTAATGATTAAAAGAAGCCTGGAAGGGCTCCCCAGTATCGGTCGATTAAAATAAATACACGCCTATTTATTCACTCCTGCCCTACGTGGTCATTTAAATCTGTCCATCGATTGATTATGAATACGCGGTTCCCGCGTTTAACCGCAATTTTTACCCACGATAGTATCTAGGATTTCAGCACGGTGCGGGCACGATTGTGGAAAGAGAAGGAGAGAGCGACGAGAAACGACAACATGAAACGAGAGGAAAGGGGAGAAAGAAAAGAATTCGGCACGCGTCGTGCAGTGGGCCGAATGAATAAAACAATCCTGGTGTTTATGTACACCTCTGGACCTCCCGTGGTGACCCTCACGTGAAATGGCAACAAAATAACACAATTACACACTCGGCCACGGCCTCACCCTCGCTGCCCGCTACTCATCCTCGTTCTCACCCTTTGGATCCGCTCTTTCCTCTTTTCTCTCTGACCCTCTCGTCCATCCCGCCACTGGATCCCATAGTGGAAAACGTGGAGAAAGAGGAAAAAAGAAGAGAGGTCTGGCTGACCGACTCGTTACAAGTCTATTCAGAGATCCGGAAAGAACAGCGCGTGCCGGTATTCATTTTGTTGACCGGAACCATTATCTGCCCCTTCGTTCTTTTCTTCTCTATCTCTGTTTCGTTCTTCGTCCATTTCTTTCTTTTCCACCGAGCTTAGGTACCGACCAGCCGCTTTAAAACCTTACGGCTAATTTATTAATCCCGCCGGCGGCGGCCAACCGCCACCCTTAGCCGCTTTTTAACCTGCTACTAATTAAAAAGCACGGAATCCCGTTCGCTCTTCCTTCACCGATCTGGGGGATTGTTCGTTATTTCTTTATTAGCAATAAAGTGTTTTCTAAGTATCGAAGTGCTGCAGTTCTAAGTAATTCGTTAATAGTTTCTAGCAAAATAAGAAACAGTATTTAAAGATGATTTAGAAAAGTCATTTTAAAAAAGGTACAGATGTAATAATGTACAAAAAAAAAAACGGGGCTGATATAATGTACACGTTATATACATATATAAATATACAAATGTATACATTTTTTTTGAGGTAATATGAATAGATTAAGTTGGTATGTGAATCACTGACGCTATATTTGATCACTATGATTAATTTTGCTGATTGAAATAGGAGTGCTGGTGCCGAGTACAAACAATTCAACTTTAATTTATTCGAAATGAAACGAAAAATAAGATATTTATAAATTACAAACGTTTTGTTTATAAAATAAAAGTGTAGTGTCTACATTTTTATGCTTTGAAAATGATTAAACTGCCGTTTTATTCCTCTCAGCCAAATTAAAAATATTTTAATTTATTGATCTATTTAATCTACATCGAAACGTCAACCAATACAGGAATATTTGGCATTAGTAATATTTGAATATCTCGAAAACGTCTAAATATTTCTTTTTAACCCATACGGTACCCATACAAGAGTACGAATCATTAAAAACACGTATCATTTCCATAGTGGCAGACATTTTTCATTTTCATTGTTCCCAATGTTCTAACCATAGAACGCTAGAAAGGCAGTCATATTCGCGGTTCAAAAGCGAAATTTACGCATTTTTCCTTTCATTAATATCCATTATCCTGGAATCTCTCGACATGACGAACTATTGCCGTATTTAGTTCCCCTGTTCCTTCGGTTTTGCGAATAAAGTATGTCGCTAATGACATCACGTATCGTGATCTAATTTTCCAGGAATGTGGACCAGGCTATCGTCTAAGCAGGGATCGATTCGGTCCCTCTCTTTCTCGAAGGCGAAATGACGGCCTGATGAAGTTTCTCGGCGTCATGGTGGCTGTTTCGTGGGTCGGCTGTAGGTGGCTGGGGGGATCCAGGCTGAAGGAGGATTAGTACACGACAAAGTTTATAAAAGTGTACTCACTCCATAGGAACCCCCTACAACTAACCTAAAGCTGGCCTCCCTTAAGGTTGTTTCCTTCTGAATCCCTTTTCGAACCCTCTTACACACGTGACGGACGCACCTATGTTATGAAGGAAGCTTTTCGGGTTAAGAAACGTAGAATTGACCTTAGCTTAGGACTAAATGAGTTAATACGCGTAAGATAAAGATTGTGATGTTGGCAAACTCGTCTATGAAATGGACGAGCATCTTACGAATCGCGTAAACTTTGTATGAGCGGTCTCGGTCGTTTGTGAGATAGTAAATGATGTAACATTAATGAAATAATCTTTTAATGCATTTTTTAATAATCATAAATAACACAGTATCAGAGTTGTTATGTGATTGAATTTTGAGTTCTTTTATATAATTAATTACTAACTAATAATACACGTTGAAGGTTAAAAATAACTTTACTACAACATCTACATCGATTATCAGATTACTGTTCCAATTTTATGAATAAAATTTCGATAAACAATATACTCTATGATATTATATAAGCTATTCCAATAAATTTATCTGATCGCATAAAGGTTAACCGTGCATAGGATCAACAGTACACGGAAAAAAATTCGCCAATCACGAATGACACAATCTTCGACATGTATTATTACACACTCTAAATTGCAATGTTTAGTGGTTGGTAAACTCTATGAAAGTTTCGTTGTGGAACGAGTGTTAACTAGGAAGAACCTATTACCCACGCGCTATATAATTATTACGATTATAGTTTTTTTATCGCGAGTTAAGCCACCGTAACGCATGGACTAATCTCATCTTAGCTGCCATAAAAAAGAATTATTCAGCGATAGTTGTTAAAATCAACATCGCGCTGGAAGCGAAAGGGCCGAAGTAGACGGTCTCATCCTAAGCGATTGGTACTTCTGGGCTACATAGAGCGTACTGGAAACCTGTAATTGTCTGGTCACGCGAGGTCACCCTGAGAACACGAACACGATTATACGTGACGTGCACCATACCAGCCATTAAGTTACAGCCAGTACACGACAGATGGTACAGGTTGCTTGAGCATGCCCCCGATGCAATTTCGTGACAGCGGTAAGAATAGCGAGAAACAAGAGGGAAAAAAATGAAGGAAAAAATTCTCAGAGTTTCTGAACATTAATTTCACCGTGCTATTGCCGAACAATAATGGATCGTTCGGTGATAAATTAATTTTGTAAAAGAATTCGCGTATGATTACAACTATACTCCTGCCAGTGTTTTTATTATCCATTGATTTTATTAATCACTGGTTAATACAAAATTGGAGTTTTAATTAATTTGTACACATAGTTCGATAGTAGATATATCATCCAGAGGTATTATGTGAAAGATTGACGCTTTCATTCCGCGAAGAATAGTGATAATGCGAGCTCGCTTGTTCCTTGTTTCATGGGCAAGTTTGGGTCGAATGTACATGTAGTGCTAATCCCCAAGACTTAGATGCGGACAGAGAAATCCCGGTGGTTATTCGCAAATGCGTAACTTGCGCGACGAGATCTAAGGTATCACAGTTAGCCACAGCCTGTCCGTTTTCATTTAAAGTTTTCCGTTGAAACCTTAAAGCGCCATCTTTACTTTAAACTATCTTAAATTACTAAAAAAGACTTTAACATTAAAGAAACATTGCTTAATATTAATTAAATTTGTTTATTAATATCTTCAGAAATGTTCTTTCGTATTTTGGATATATTTTTAAAGGTATTTCTGCAACGTTTCTATGTACTCTCGCTCAACTTGGAAAGAACGTAATTAAGGAAGCTTTATTTGCCTCTAGGTTCAATGCTCTGAGCAAGGAATATAAAATATACATAGATATTGGCAAACGAGGAAATAAAACGTATTCTGTAACTGTCACGGTGTGTCGACTGAAAGTATAGCACGATGTCGGACATACTTGTCGTCCATCCGATGGTTAATTTTCATTGAATGCTGCCATTGTAAATACTCCCGAAGAATAACGTCTATCAAGTTTCTTACTGTTCTATGCGTTTTTGTCCAGATGAATTTATCAAGAATTTCAATCCTGATTGTCATTGACAATTTTAGGTATTTTTATATAAATTTAAGCTTCATTTGGACTGTGTAAATGTAATATAATATACCTTTTTTCAAATGATTAATTTATGTTCTTATTACGTTACGTGATTAAAAAAACATCAATCTATACAATATACTATAGTAAAATTAAAGTGGAACGCTTGTTTTATCAACAAACAGTAAATAACATGCATTCGCAGTCAGTCCACAATAAGAATTATCGTGAAACCGGTGTCAAGGGAGAGCGTTTCATTTTCCCTGTTACAAAAAGACTGCGTCTTGTCAACATACCGGTGTTTTCCTGTTAAAATATCGATGCCCGGGATTGGTCCAATTGCCAAAGCGAAAGTGAACGTTCGAACAGCGAATCCAATGTTCGGGCGTTACAAAAACGAACCACAGTAACAGTACTTTACCGCGTATTGGATCGCGCTGTCACGCTTCGACTATCATTTCACTCGACATTCCATACGGTTTGGATACGTAATTTACCCGCAATCAAACATACTTGTTGCGATCATTAAATTCAGCAAGAAAACGATGAATCGATGCACGATACACGGAGTTTCAGTTTGCTCGATATTACAATTACGCAGCGCGTAACCGATATTAATTAAAGAGCACAATATGCTCGATTCGAAATGGCCGAGTGCATCGGAACTGACACGTTCTATCGTTGACAGCCGAGAATCAGCGGAGCGACAATCATGTCAGAACAATCGCTCGAGATTTTTAGACCGCAAACTCGATCGTTTCTTATCAATAGGATCGATATTTTACTCATTTACAGAGATGCTGGTTGTGTTAACGATCTCCAGTTGTGAAATACATGTGGGGCCGTATAGGAAAAATACCGGTTATCTTGATTCGGAGAAAATATGGAAAATTAAAGACAATCAACTTTCGGACGTTCGCGGGGAGACGCGATCTCGAAGAAGCGCGCCAACGGGAGTGGTAAATTTCCGTTACGATTTGACTGATCGACGCCACGAATCGTTCGATCCCTTATTTCTTTTGGGATAATAAGGATAGTTGAGTGAATATAACGCTGCTATTAACAGGTTAATAAGTATTTTGAATGATCCAACAACTTCAATGTGATGCAACGTTGCGTATGTGAAATGACAACTACGAATGAGCACGACCTGAGACACCTTTCGTGTTGACGACTGTGATGAGGTATCTTCTATCGATTGACTGTCTTCGACTTGTAGATTCCGCTGATTTGACTTCTGACCCTTGCTGTTCCTTGAACTGTGTTTTGGTTCAAACATTACTGTGGAATAAGTCTAGAGATCAAGAATAGAGATGAAGTGACTGCTCTGTCGTCCAGAGAATAAATTGACTTTCCTAGTGTAGTAGAAGAAGTGAAGTTCGTTATTATGTGATTACGAAGGAAAGCTCGGTATGGGTGTGCCCTTTGAACAAAGAACGCGGATTTGTTGCTCACACTTTTCGTCAGGAAAGCGAGGGTAACGACCCGCAATGCCGATTGGTTATGACCAACGTTAGGAATGAAGATAGGAGGAAGAAGCCTCCTACCAACGTGGCTCATGGGTGACATTGTTTATGGGAGAAACCAGCTTTTTCGTTAGACAAATATTCGTTTTTCCCATTAGGCGACTACCCGCTTTCTCCATGATTTTTAAGGGCGCCTAATAAACCCGAGGACTTTTCTAAGAAAATCCTTCAGGACAAGCAGTTTAACTTAAAAACATGTGTTAAAACAATTAAGTTAAAAAATTAAGGTTTATGGTGGGTCCTTAGGTTTATTGAGGGTCTGTCTAATGGTCTTGACGGTCAGATAATGAAGGACGTCGCACGGATCACTTCACGCGACGTAACAGACAATATAGATATAAAAATACAAATATTCTATATAATAAAAATATTTTAACGTATGTTTCTATTCCTAGATATATATAATTTAAAAAAAATATTTCATTTAATGAAAATCTGTCACGTAATACAAAAAATTACGCTCTACCTTATATAAAGTTTATACTGTGTTATTTTTAAATTAGTCATTTGAATCCTTATCCCCTAATCACATACTACATTTTGATCATCGATCGTTAATCCTAGCTCAAAGTTATTACGTGTAAATAATTCCACTATTATAATCGATATTTTACTCTTCACCATTCATACGATTAATTTTCACAAAATATGTTAATGCAATGCATTTGCTCCGCGATGGTGATAAACCATACGAAATTTGACCATTCGCTATGGTTTGATTTGTTACAGAGGGCAACAAGTGCCCGACCCCAGGCTGCACGGGGCAGGGTCACGTGACCGGACTCTATTCTCACCACCGCAGGTAAGCAATTATCGGTAATTAACCTGTGCTCTGCACTTTGCCCTGGTCAATTAGACACCTCCACGTTGCGACAGGAAGACCAAGTGAAATAGGATTGACACTAGTAGACCTGTTCGTCATGTTATCCGATCGTCATTGAATATGGAATAGGATATGGTCACTTTTGTGTTAGGTGCTCCTGGATAAGATTCCACATAAAATACTCGAAAATTTGATCAAGTTAGAACTTTGGTTTCTTGACAAAGTTATGGCACTCAGAGTATTAAAAAGAATAAAGTTGCAGAAAACTTTTGGCAGTCACTGTGCAGCCAGTAAAAATCTTCCTTACCGAGTTATTTCCCTCATACTTTTACAATCCACTAAAACCTGTGTGTTACGACCTTGCTTCATAATTCACTGCTGTTATTTCAGCCTATCCGGTTGTCCACGGAAGGATAAACTAACGCCTGAGAGTAAGTAGTCACAGACCGGCACCATTACTCTTACTTCTTATCGTAGTTACATAGATGCATCTTCTTTTTGCGAGACTGCCTTTTTCACGCGACAACGGAGCAGGGGAGTGGCGAGAGAACGATCGTGAACGGCTATAATTATTTTCCAGCAGTAGTTTCTTTTAAATCGGGCTCAAGATCTTTAAACCTATGCGATCAAATCTCGGTACAAGTTTCGCGAATCGATACTGATTTTCGTTTACGCTTACGAAAAATTCATTCGACCAAAGTAAAAAGTCTACACGCGATATGTTGACATTTATTAATAGCAATTGGAACAAAAAATGGAGAAAAAGAATGAAAACTGGACTTCTTCAATTTCGTGCATTGAACGAATTGACGAAAGAGTACGGGCTCGTTTAACCGTGCCCGTCTATATGTGTCTATGTGTCTGTCTATTTATATTCTTTGTGCTTTTCGTTTGCGGGGTAGAGAGCTTTATTTATTGCGTTTCATTTCCGTTTTAATTTTTACCGTTCTGTTTGTAGTTTAATTATAGTAGAGAATTTATCACCACACTTGAACTTGGTTATGTTGGCCGTACCTACGAACATCTGGAGAACTCGAGACACGGACGGTGCAAGACTAGCCGGTATGCGTGTACAAGCACGCCGGATCCGAACGGAGGGTCTTGTGCGATTGAGTATAATTAAAACGGCGACTACACACTCTTGTGACACGGTTCCCTATATCAGACAAACTATGCTTGTCGACCGATCCTGTAGAACACACGACAAGTAAAGTCGTCGTGATCGAAACGGTGAAAGATCATTGATTCATCGTGGATCAACAAAGTTGTAGTCATCTCTCACAAAATGTCCATCATCTTTTATTAATTTCAAATTTAAATTTATATAGATTCGTTATTGAAACATCGAAATTTCTTAATATTCATTAAATATTCATAGTTCATTTTCATAGCAAGATCAATAAATGTCAAATATTTTAGTAATTTATTTTTTGTGTGATTCTTTAAAATACTCGTTTTATGTACACGATATCTGTTATACGAGAGACCAACATTATTCCCAATATAACACAAAACACACGACAAGTAATCTATCGAGGTACACAAGAATCGCAAGTTGTTGTCTTATAATTTTGTCACTCGATTATGTCTTTACTTGAGTTTCTCTCTACCCGCTCGGTATACTTGATTGTACTATTACACATTTGATGTGTATATTTCGTCCCGTGACGTTATGTACCCCACCTGTCTCTTTTTCTTTGTTTCTCTTCCTTTACTTTCTGTTTTCTCCTCTAATTTTTCTCTGTATACTATACACAACATCTCTGACTTCGTGTGTAACATTGATCGAAGCTAAACCAACGCGATCGAAATGTGTCAGAAAGAAGCGAATCGTGTTGCCGACAAAGATGATAATTATACTCAACGCATAAGAAAGAACCGAGCTTAAACCCATAATAGCTCGATGCTACCGATCGTATCTTAGTGTGCGTGTATACGTATGTATAATCTAGCGATAACTTAATCGAAACGTAATAAGAAAAAATATGGAGCGAGAATAGCAGCGTTCTATAACCACGTCACGTGTCTCTGGGTTCTCTACAGTTCTGGCGATGCATGAGACTATTTTGAAATGCCCGACGCCTGGTTGCAACGGCCGTGGCCATGTCAGCTCGAATCGGAACACGCACAGGAGCCTATCCGGATGTCCCATTGCCGCGGCCAATAAGCAGGCTGCACGCGAGGCACGACACAAGGCTCAAGGTAAGGCGGCACAGCGGCACTCGAACGTGTCTGGAATTCGCCCCAAGAGAAAATCCACGGATGGAGCCGCTCCGTGAAATCGGATCGGGGCTTATAAGCTCCAGGACTGTCGCGAAACTAATCCTCCGATCGTTTCTCGATAGCTCTCGCGTGAACTTCTACCAAACCGAACATTCGAGGGTACACATAAACCACATCGTTTTTCGTCAGTGGCTATTGTCGAGTAATTGTCATTGCTCTATGCATTTTAATTTTCAAAGTTCATCAGCATGGTTTCTGAACGACCCAGTTATGAAGAACTAAACTTTCATATTTACAAGTTAAATATTTTATCTATTTGAAGAAAATGCATAGATACAGAATAATTAGACTCACAGAAGCATGTTACTCACAAACATTCGTTTGAAAGTTTTTCAATCTTTTCCTCAATTAAAAGCAGACATAACCAAGCAAAGATACAAATATAGTTTCACCACGATATTAATAACAATAAAAAATATGTGATAACCATTTCATTTTCGCAACAGTGTCCGGAATTCCTCCAGAATACATCAGTACGAACCTGTTGCCGCCGTCGATGGATAGCAAGAGCTACTCCCAGTACGGGTCCACGGCGCAGGACACAAAACCGGTGCTAAGCAGCCTGACCTATGACTACTACACGACAACGAAAAGCACGGGTATCAACGTGAAACCTCCGAAAACGCCGGAGGAGAATCCCTCATCCCGTACGACCAAGGTAGTCCCTAAAACTGAAAATATGACGCCGAGTGGCAGTTGCTGCAACACCCTGCCATCCAGAGGTCAAAACACGACCGACTTACTGGTACCAAAGACGGAAGAAACTGCTTCCTGTCGAGTGAATTCACCGCCACCACCTCCACCACCCACAGTACGGCCAACGTACGACTCGTACATGAATCAGGATTCGAACTCTTCGTCGATGTCCTCGATGGACGCCATGGGGTCTAGAGGATCTATTGGCCCGACGATACATCATCCTACTCAGCATCCGACGCATCACGTGCTGCCTATGCAGCCCACAGTCGCATATCCCATGCCAATGGTCGAGGATACGAGGATGAGTCATCAGATGTCCCAGAGATCTCCGTACGAGCCATCAGCTATGATGGCCGCAGCGGCGG